ATACCGAAACGACTTTCAGAAATACCGAAACGACTTTCAGAATTACCGAAACGACAGGGTACCTAAACGACCAGGTACCTAAACGACCTGAATTCATGTTTTCGGCACCAAATCGCATATTTCCCGATAAAATATGACAGATGGAAGTAAATAACGTCTACAAAGGTGATATTTCACAGTAATAAAGAAGTATTTGGTTCATAACTGGATCGTATGGGGTAGTATTGGGTGGTATTGGTGGGTAGTATTGGGTAATTAGACGCGCCCCGTCCGACTAAGAAGTCTGGGATAGCAAATAATATACTCTGTTTCTGTTACAACATTTACAATTCTGAACTGTCGAAATCAACTTTAGATGATATAATTTTATGCAAAAAGTTTGTCACATGAGGCTACAAGGTGTGAATTTTTAAAAGATAGAAGCTGCTGAAAAAAAAGCAGATACAGTAAGCGAGTTATTCGTTACCCGATGCTCTGTTAAGATTCTATTCAATCGATCGGCAACACAGCATTACTTTACAAAAGTTAAAGCTTACTCTTTAAGCATGTTTGTGAGTTGGTGTTTTGGTGGAAGTGGCATTTTAAATGTCAAAATCATCAAACATTTCATTTTTGTTTACATGTCGAAGCGTCGTTGTCTACGGGTCATCATCCTCAAATGCTTCAATTCTCGAACAATTATATGGCTTAATTCAAGCGTTTTGAAAACCAAACATATTGTATTTCGGAATACCTTTGCAGTTTGTGTTAGTAATACAGATCTCATCCGAGAGGAAGTTCCCCGTTACCCAAAATGCCATGCTTTAACTTCCTCTCGTTCTTTTACTTCCGCTAAACCTAAGGGTAAACATGTTTTAAATACAATCTTATTATATAAATCTATCGCCATCATCATATTCTGCAACATCCTACCCTTATCACTTCAGTAAAATAAATAAGATATATGGTTTACATATTTGCACACGTTTAATAATTACCAACTGGCCCAGTAGTTGGGGTTAATGTAATCTAAATTTTATGTTGTCATCAGAGCAACAGATCATGAATGTAGTTTTGTTCAAACTTCTAATATGACGGCTTAGAACCGGAGTCTTTGTTTTTATGTATAAAATACGTGTGTATTGCTGGATTGATAACAGACAAGTTTTACCAGTTAGCCCAATCCTTTCCTAATTTGTCGACAGTGTACAAAACTCGGGAATCGACGGTAGAAGAAATAAGAATGTTTAGGGTGATTCAAAATATATATACTGTACCTAGATCACATGTGTTTAAAATATTCATTGTTAATCAAGAAATAAGCCAAAACAAACAGTGTCATATTAGGGCTAGTACCGAATAAAATATACAAATATCCTATTTACAGTAAGAATCTCGAACACCTGTGCCAAGACAGCGGAGCTCGTCTTGATCAGGGTGGACACTTTTATGATGTATATTAAGTAACTATTATATGTACTACACATCATGTTAGTTCGCCCAGCACCTGTGGTTTTGATCAAAAGATAATAAGAAAAATGTATATGACAACCTAAACATGGACCGCTGTATGTCACTACCCCACCTCAGCTAAAACCACTTTTTACAGTTTTTGAATTGTCTTTTTTCTAAATTGCTATAAAATTGTTAATCTGGCCATACATATCCAACCTTCCATGACCAAGTGAGCACCAACGTAAACCCATTGCCTTTTTTTAAATGGGAACTCTACCTGCGAAAAACGTAGCTTCTTACAGCGAGACATTTTTTTATATATTGTGTCGTCGGAGCTAAGAATCAGGCCTATTTCAACTAAAGGAGCAAAATCAAAAGTACTAATCTGTAAGATAGCATATAATTAAAGCCTCATATAATTAAAATGTTATCAAAATATTGCATAATTGTTGAAATAACGCATCCTTATAATTACTAATAGAAAAAGGCCTCTTGGACAAAATTAGCAAAATCTGTGGGGGAGAAAAGAAACGACTGCCATGAAAGTTCACAAGTGATGTTATCTCAATTATCAGTTTCTATAATATATGGCCTGCATGGCCAAATATACTACTGATGCCGCTATGTTTACTACAGAGTGTACTTTACCTGAAGAAGACTGGCACTTTACATGGAAATCATTGAAATTGAAGAGACTAGACGGTCACTGAAGCAGGCAAATGGAGTTTAATCACTACATATTTTTAATAAACGGTTAACCAAGTTATGAAGTAGCACAAACTTAACTTCATATTTTCATGCTGATTTGAACATTTCTGTATTTGTAGAACGAAAATGGTGCGGATGAACGTTCTCGCCGATGCCTTAAAGGCAATAGCTAGTGCTGAAAGGCGTAACAAAAGACAGGTGTTGATCCGGCCATGCTCCAAGGTCATCGTCAAGTTCTTGACTGTGATGATGAAACATGGTATGTCCAATTATTTATGTTAATTCTTAGCTCAATGAAGTTGACTTGCAGGTATATATATGGTTATAATTATAAACAACAGATACAACCTACAAACTACTCTGGATTGATTAATGTTTTCCACATTAATTTTATTTATCTGTCTGTTATTCACTGTGTATCATTATGAACTCTGTAGAGCCCTGTATTTTTCTTACAATTTTCTGGTTTCAATATGCACCCTAAAAACAGGTTTTACTATTTATCATCTGTGACTTGGAGTAGCTTTGTTACAAATGTATGATATCTTCTCTCGTCCAAACACTTCTGATTTAAAGTTTATTGCCTATAGCTCAAGTCCATCTGTCCACTCCATTCTGATGCATTTAGTAAATTTGGGCATAGTGTGCACTTTTTTAGGTAAATATCGTCATGTCAAATAGGGGATGCGCACTATATGCAGGAACAAGTCATTCTTGGGTTATCGTTCTCAAGTTTCTTGTTTTCACTCCATAACACGTGGCTTGATGCCTTACTGCACTGTTGGAACTACAGACTGATTTGACCGTAAAGGGATTATAAAAAAATATGTTTATACTAGAAGCGTGGACATTCAACACATCCCCTGCAAATCTACTTGAAGGGAAAAAATAAAAGCAGAATACACTATTTTTATGATGCTTCATAATATTGAAATAATTCACGAGGTTATCGATGACGTCAACATGAAAGTGAGCTGGGGAAAAAACATGCACACAAAGGCTTAGGCCTAGAGATTTGATAAAAAAAAAATCAGAACCAACATGGAACGGATCCTATAACTGAAACACTACATTTTCGTAATTATGAGAAAACAGCTGAGATGTCGAAACATAAGTTGATCGTCGATTCTCTGGCATCGGAATTAGCTACACTTTCTTCGTTTGGTTTCTGCAGGATTCGTCCATCATCCACTCATTCCAAGCGGTATGGAGGGAGACCTTCATGGGCTTGTTGACTCCAATCAATCAATCGTTAATTAATCTTCATTATAAAACACCAAGCTACATTTGATGCTTCTTTTCCTGTTTGATACCGGGTTTTTTTAGGATATTTTTTTCATTTATATTTTCTATATAAAAAAATTCCAAATCTGACCCCAAAAACGTACTTGCTTATTATACTTGAGTGCGCACTATACCTGCAAATTTACGGTAACTTTATCTTTGGATGGAACTTAATCATTATTCAACTACTGTGAAACCTCGAAAACTTATGCATTTTCTGGTCAAGGTTTCCATTACTAATTATAAACAGAAAATTCACTGTTATATGTGATAAGAAAATATCTCGGATGGCTGTCTGTAAGATCTTTTTTGTTTTGCAGGCTATATTGGAGAATTTGAAATAATCGACGACCACAGAAATGGAAAAATTGTTGTAAACCTTACAGGAAGGTTGAACAAAGTAAGTTTAACAAGTTTTGATCTGTTATAAGTTTTGCTGGTAATGAGCTAAGCCATTCACAGGGGTCGACACTAACACTAGTCTGCTAGTCCTGGACTAGTAGATTTCAGTAAGGACTAGTGAATCACCTAACCTAACTGGTCCTTTGGATTTGTGAAAAATATGATTATAAAATACAAATATTACTTTCTAAAATTTAGAAAACTGCTTGAAATAAGATAAATTCCATGATAATCGTCAAAATCTATCTAAAACTTCCCCATATTTTTATGGCAGTAGATATTTTAAGTCCTCTACAATCGATTACATTTGATGTTTTATACTGTAGATCGCGAAGTTTCCTTATCAGGAAATCTTTGACTAGTTACATTGATGAAGGACTAGTAATATGATTTATTCAACTAGTCCTGTGGACTACCAAACAAAAAAGTTAGTGTCTATCCCTGATTCATGGGGTTTCTCAAATATTTTGGGTATGACTTCTCTCCCATATATGGTAGGGAAGCCTTATGTCCTATTAGCCTTAAGTGTCATCTTGACACACATTAAAAAATCGGCACAGAAATATAGATGACCCTACAAATAGGACAAATTCCTCCAGCTTTGACTGATTGGGTTAGTCCTATTTTCCAAGCGAGATAAAGATTTGTAAATATGGTTCAACACTACAAATAGACAGACTTCATTCAAGTCTAGCTGATCAGGTTATTCCAATATTCTCTCTCAGAGAGATGAGCTTTTGCAGACGTGAAGAAAACATTTATGACCCACCCCTGTCATAACATGGAAAAAGTTGAGATCCCTACTCTCATGTTCTTGGTGTCTTACCCACCCTTCTTGCAAGTTGTATTTCTTGTACTCCTTTGATAAATTATTATGTTTTTCAGCAGGTTTTTAGTTGAAAATTAAATACCAGGTGAGCTATTAAGGCCCTGGGCCTGTTGTTTAGTTTCTTAAAACGAAAGGGTCAAAATATGATATGGAAAATGATATTGTTATATGCTTCTTAATTACAACACCTTTTTAGTAAGGCAAATAAGTTTTTAAATTGAATTTTGAAGTTGACATAGCAAATACAATTTATTTTTCTCTGTATTCAGTGTGGTGTCATCAGTCCCAGATTTGATGTAGCCCTTCGTGACATGGAGAAATGGACAACAAATCTTCTACCCTCTAGACAGTTCGGGTAAGTAAAAATTTTAGATGTTATAAATTTTTCATCCAATGATTTTCCTTTTGATATATTTTCTTGCTCAATACAAGTAAAAAAATGACCAACTGCTTGATAAAATCATGTCCCGAGTAGAAACCAATTCCACCTTGTAAAAATTCTCATGAGCGATTATGATTTTGATGCATAGAATTTATTTGTGTTTGTGTACATAATAGTACAGTACTTGACAATTGAAATATTTTTCATGCATCATTAGAGCTTTCAATGTTTTTTCTCTTGTATAGGTTCATGGCTTTAACCATTTCACCCTACATAACTTTAGTAGACTCTACCATGCATTGATCTGGATGAGTCCATTATGGTCTACAGTTGTGAAAGGGTTAAAAGGTGTTGAGATGAGAATTTCTGAAGTAAGACAGCGAATATAAATTTAGTCCTGCTGGTTATCAGATGCTTCAGAATAGTGTTTGGAAATATGATAAATCTGTGTATAGTCTGATATTCAAAACTTGATTTGTTATTTTCATCCTTTTGGAATGTTTTTTGACAAAAATTATTTCACATTTTAGATTTATAGTGTTGACAACGTCAGGTGGTATCATGGACCACGAGGAAGCAAGGAGGAAGCACTTAGGAGGGAAGATGTTGGGATTCTTCTTCTGATGTGGTTAATATAGGGAAAATAGGACTGATCCATCTGTGCTTTATTTGTTCCTTACTAAATTAAAGTTTACAGAAGGGAAATCAAGTGTGTAGTTTTCTATTTAGAAGTACAGTTAAAAAGGAAGAAATGGAGCAACACCTGCAATGAAATTGAATATGCAATGTCTGGTTGTGGCAACACCATTCATTCCCTTTGCTGTCTGCAATCTTATAAATGTGGTATAGGTACATAAAATATTTGCATTTTCCATGCATCAATCACATATATAAAAACATATGCTTCCCTGCGTGTTACTCAATGTTATCTGCAGTAGTCTTTCACCTTATAACACGGTTGAGTATTGGCAGCAATCCATAGGACCCCACCTGCAGACAAACTAAAATATATTAAAAGAACAAAGGGGCATAACTCTAAATATTGGACCACAATTCCCAATATTGGTTATCCTATGTGTACTACAAAAACAATGGCAATTGTAGATGATACAGCTATTTGAGATATACCCAGGACAAAGGGTGTACAAAGGGCCATAACTCTGTAATATTAAAGCACAAGGTCATATTTCGTTGCACAACACTACCATACCAAGAGGTACTTGAACAGAAAATCTAATAATTATATGAGACACGTTTTAGCCAATGTGGCACTGCAAAGGTAGGGTCAATGTCTATGGAGATTTAACATAAGCGTCGGCCCCCGCTTGGAATTTCAAAACAAGATAACTACAAAAAGGTACGGGTATAGGAAGCTTAAATCAGGAACAAATAGTTTCGGAATTCGTTTTATGATAAATTGGACCTCATTGACTTACACCTGTGTGGTTGTTAAAGGTGCGACAATACAATTCCTCCTAGAGCATTTAAATGACACCTTTACTATAAAAGTATATCATCATTGTGTGCAGCATACTCTAACTGTTATTTTGATGCCGAATATTACACTATTCAAGAAAGAATCGTTATTTTTAGGTCACCTGAGCTTTAGCTCAAGTGTCCTATTGCTATCCGTTTTCGTCCTTCGTCCGTTAACATTTTACATTTCAACCTTAAAGTCAAGTTCTGCTAGGCCGATTGAACTGAAATTTTGTAGGAATGATCGAATCATGGGCCTGACAAAGTGTTGTTATTTTTCAGTTAAATCAAAAATCCAATATGGCCACCACGGCTGCCATTTTGAAAAACTATTTCAAACTTAAAGTCAAGTTCTGCTAGGCCGATTGAACTGAAATTTTGTAGGAATGATCAGCTCATGGTGCTGACATAGTTAAGTTAACATTATACTATTTTTTATTCAAATTGGTACATATTTCAACAACAAAAATAAATACTGTAGACTCAGGGGACCGTTTAGGCCCATGGGTCTCTTGTTATTAAAGGTTTAGATAGAAACGTATGTAAAATTTTCAATACTAATGAGAAAACTTCAATTTTTGATACGTTAATTTACATAGTTCTAAAACTGGTCTATTTTTCATACTTGCTTATAAGTTGGCTACCAATAATATCCTTCAACATTAGGAATTTCAAAAAAATAGACAACTGGTAAATTTGTCATATAACACTTTTCTTTTACTTGTGTTTCTTCATGACCAAAGGTCTTGAGTTTTGAGAACGTCGATGGCCTTGACCTTCTTTCAAGGTCACAAAAATCAAATATGGCCGCCACGGCCGCCATTTTGAAAACCTATTTCAAACTTAAAGACAAGTTCTGCTGGGCTGATTGAACTGAAACTTTGTAGGAATGATCAGCTCATGGTGCTGACATAGTTAAGTTAACATTATACTATTTTTTATTCAAATTGGTACATATTTCAACAACAAAAATAAATACTGTAGACTCAGGTGACCGTTTAGGCCCATGGGCCTCTTGTTATTAAAGGTTTAGATAGAAACGTATGTGAAATTTTCAATACTAATGAGAAAACTTCAATTTTTGATACGTTAATTTACATAGTTCTAAAACTGGTCTATTTTTCATACTTGCTTATAAGTTGGCTACCAATAATATCCTTCAACATTAGGAATTTCAAAAAAATAGACAACCGGTAAATTTGTCATATAACACTTTTCTTTTACTTGTGTTTCTTCATGACCAAAGGTCTTGAGTTTTGTGAACGTCGATGACCTTGACCTTCTTTCAAGGTCACAAAAATCAAATATGCTGAAATATTGTTTTTGTATGGGGAATCGGACAAGGATATCTTTCCTTGCTTTATTTGTTAAGAGCCGAGATATAAAATAATGTAATATTCCTTCATATTTTTAGGTCACCTGAGCTTTAGCTCAAGTGACCTATTGCTATCCGTTTTCGTCCGTCGTCGTCCGTCGTCCGTTAACATTTTACATTTCAAACTTAAAGTCAAGTTCTGCTGGGCCGATTGAACTGAAAGTTGGTAGGAATGATCGCCTCATGGTCCTGACAAAGTGTTGTTATTTTTCGGGTCGATCAGAAATCCAATATGGCCGCCACGGCCGCCATTTTGAAAACCTATTTCAAACTTAAAGTCAAGTTCTGCTGGACCGATTGAACTGAAAGTTGGTAGGAATGATCGCCTCATGGTCCTGACAAAGTGTTGTTATTTTTCGGGTCGATCAGAAATCCAATATGGCCGCCACGGCCGCCATTTTGAAAACCTATTTCAAACTTAAAGTCAAGTTCTGCTGGACCGATTGAACTTAAAGTTTGTAGGAATGATCGACTCATGGTCCTGACAAAGTGTTGTTATTTTTCAGGTCAATCATAAATCCAATATGGCCGCCACGGCCACCATTTTGAAAACATATTTCAAACTTAAAGTCAAGTTCTGCTAGGCCGATTGAACTGAAACTTTGTAGGAATGATTGACTCATGGTCCTGACAAAGTGTTGTTATTTTTCGGGTCGATCAGAAATCCAATATGGCCACCACGGCTGCCATTTTGGTAAACTATTTCAAACTTAAAGTAAAGATCTACTTGGCCGATTGAACTGAAACTTTGTAGGAATGATCGAATCATGGTCCTGACAAAGTGTTGTTATTTTTCGGGTCAATCAGAAATACAATTTGGCTGCCATGGCCGCTATTTTGCTACTAAGTTCTAATAGGCCGATCTCACTTAAAATTGGTCTAGGAATGATCAGCTCATGGTCCTGACAAAGTTAAGTTAACATTATACTATTTTTTACTCAAATTGGTACATATTTCAACAACAAAAATAAATACTATAGACTCAGGTGACCGTTAAGGCCCATGGGCCTCTTGTGTTTGATGAATAGGCAAGATAAAATAATAACTAGAACTGTAAGCCAAAGACTAACTAATACCCCAGTATCAGTTTGAAGTGCGGTCCCATATTTCTGGCATATTATAGAGGGCCGGAGTTCTGATTTAATCGAGGACAGACCGATATGAAAAAAGTCGATAAACCGTCAGAACAATTCGGACTAATACCCCAGCTCCTATATCAATCAGAACTAAGCTAAAGGCTATCTAAGGCAAAGCATTGCAAAGCAATCCAGTCTCCCACCAGTAATTATTTAAGTATATGCCATTGGCATACTTTCTGTACTCCCTTCCCATGCCAAAACACACTTCCATTACCAAATCGTGTTTGCCTAGATGAACCAATTTTGCTGAAATCGTCCATATCTGTAAACATTAATTGAAAGCGGCCAAGTAGTTTATAAGGCAGACGAAAGGTTTTTTTTAACAAAGGGCAATAACTCCTTTTGAAAGGGTCCGGTCCGAATGAAAATATACTGCTTGGATGTGCAATGCATTACATGACACATGCTTTTAAGTTATGTGCAGCATTAATAACTCATGAATATGTATTCTACCAAAGTAATCTGTATCTGGAGAACTACTTAAGGTTGAGATTGTGTTGTAGACAAAGATATACAATTTACAATATATAAAAACAATAAATTATTTGTCAAGACAACTCTTCCAAAACTGTGGGGCCAATTTCAAGGAAATTAGCAGATAAGTTAACATATCTGCTAATTTCGTTGTTATTGATCATTTTTATGTATCTACATATGGCAAAAGAATAAAAGAAATCAAAGTGGGGGCCAAATGTTGACCCCACCTTCATATGGCCCTCTGATAGTACACATGGGTTGACTAATAAACATAGCTCCCTCTGGCAGTATGATAGGGGCCAATTATAAACCTATAGTGCCCTCTAGTAGAACAGTGGGAGGCTATTATTACTCTGGTGCTTACACGGTTATAGTGCCCATTGGTAGTTGCATTTACTGTGGGAGACTAGTTATGGACTTACAGTGCCTTCTGTTAGTATGGTAGAGACTGATGATAAATCTATAGTGCCCTCTAGTAGTTGTAATGTTATCCCCTACTGCAAGGTGGACAGGGTAATGTATTCCATCCAAGGTGTTGTCACAGCTTGTGTCCCACATCACTTCACCTGTGATCAGCATAGTTGGACTGTTGTGTTGGTACATCTTTGGGAGGCATATGAAAAATATGTCAATGTTATTAACATTTTGACCTTAATTAAAATTGCAAAGTATGTGTGATACGGCTTGCAGAGTACCCCGTATATCTTTTATGTTTCACTTGTGATCATCAATGGTGGTATGCTGGTACATCTTGGGAAGACACAGTGTGATGTTAGTGGGCTATGATAATGTGGCAGATTTTAATTGTACATAGGATTATGGTCGCCCTCTAAAGGGAATTTCCCTTTAGCTCAGTGGTAGAGCGTCCAGCTAGGAACCTGGAGATGGAGGGTTCAATCCCCGATGGAAGCACGCTATTCTCTTTCCTGTTGCAAATGGTGTCCGTGGCCCTCCCTGTGGTGACGGAGTTAGAACCTGGGTTGTGGTGTCCCGAGGGCAAACACATTTAAAAGGGGGGAGTAGTGTTGCAGATATAAATTGTTCATATGATTACAGTTGCCTTCGAGCTAGAGGGAATTCCCCTTCAGCCCAGTGGTAGAGCGTCCGACTTGGAACCTGGAGATCGAGGGTTCGATCCCCGGTAGAAGCACACTATTCTCTTTCCTGTTACAATAATAACTTCCTGCATGTCTATGAACAGAAGTCCATAGTTTTTCAGTGGGGATATTGGCAATGCG